GTTTACTTGTCTTATTGCGGAATCGTTTTATGGTTCTATTTTGTAGTCGTTATGCGTGTTTTATGTTTTGCTATGCCTTATCTCATTGTCATAAGCTACCTAAGAAGAGGTTAATACCCTATCTTATTCGTCTGAATAACTGCTTAGGCAACGATCACTCTACAATCACTACTATACATCAAGTATATGAAGTGTTTAGTTGTATTTCAAAGCTTAACCCCAATGTTTTCATTAAACACGTTAATTATGTGTACATTTTTATTCAGACATTTGTTGACGTTCAGATAACTTTTGGTTATTCCCCTGGTTATCACTCAAATGTGCATATACGTTTACAGTCATATGCTCGCTCCCGTCACAATCTAGCGTGAGTATGACAGTGAATCTCAACGTGCAAATATCGACAGGAAAGTAGCCTTTGCCAAACGTTCGACAAATATAAATAAAACAAGTTACAGCTTTTTTGAAAACGGTGAACAGATCTTTCTAAAACTAAACCACAAACACAAATACACGATATGACTGAGTTCTAATCAGACTGGTTCGTAAAACAGCTCGCTACCAAAAAATATCCACAGATAAAATAATCCTATTACAACAGTTGTTGTTTTTCAATGAAATAAGCGATGGTACAACAAAAATGGAATCTTGCACACGGATTAGAAGGAAGCCGGTCATTGTTGTCAGGTCAAAATAATGGCTTAAGGCGTAGTAGTGTTTTTAATTAGTCGCGATGGATTTACCGTGAGAATATAATCACTGAATTTTGTATTCACATTGTTACCATCAATTCGAAAATCAATTTATGCAAAATCTTTAACAATCTTTAAGTTTTAACAATGTTTGGAATCATACACCTTATTTAACATTCTAAGAAATGATCTTGTGGTGGCGCTGTTCTGCTTGAAATACAAAAACACGATAATATAGTGTATTGGCGACATGGAAAAATCAGTGAGGCAAACTAACATCTATTTGAACGTCAACATAAATCAGCTAACGAATAGGCATGTTTTTAATATCAGAAGGCAGCATAAATGAATCATTTGATGTGATATAATGTGTCAATGTCGTAGTAATTGATCACTTTGTGTTGTACTGCTGGAAAACATATTGTCGTCATTGAACTGTACATGTGCAACTAAATAAAAAGCAACGTTTCCCGTACCTACACTAATGAATTGATTGCCATCTGTCTCACCTCTATTTACATTACTGTGGTCAGCATACATTGCTTTATAAACATTGGCTTCATCGGATAATGATGGGCTTTGATGGGATTTATTACTACACACACGTAAGGTGTGTCTGTATAATTATGTTAGCGGTGCAGCCACTCACTACATTTTATGATCCTTCCTACATCTGTTTCGGGGAAAGTGGTTGCTCTGCCAGTGAAATATTTCTGCCCAGAATGTTGTATAGTGGTTCCTTATTTTGAATGTAGGTATTTTCCCCTCCATCTCCAATTAATGCTGTATTTCTTGACAGCTTTACCTGCATACTAGTCTCAAATGGCTGCAATTGAGGCATATTTATGCTACAAGTTTAAAATGTTACTTACTAAAACGTGGGTCCACAAAAATTGGAAGATGCTTCATTGAAAGCACCTGTATGCTGCATTCAAGTTGAACAAAAGTTGGAACGTGTCAATAAAAAAACTGGATTTCAATCTAAGGGACTATTAATGCAATTAATTGACAGGGTGCGGTAACGTTTTCTTTACAAACATGGCGACAATATATGTCTGTAAGTATACAGAACAAATGTACGGTGTATGTAACATTTGTTCAGATGTTTAAATTTATCTTGTTTTTGTCTGAACGTACGATTTAAAGTAAGTGTTATAAATAAATTCAGTCATTTAGTAGTTGAATTAAAACATGTTAATTGCGCTATAAATGAATACATGTACGTGTTTGTTCATATATAAGGTTGGTCATCATGGGTACGGACATGTATCATATCACTACTATTCTCTTTGCCATTTTCAAATAATCACATATATCAACTAGCCATAGTATTCATTTAGTTAGATAACCAGCTCACCAAGACAAAACCATATGTACCATGTTTCATTTCATGTCATGTCAACAACATACTATAATATACATCAGGCAAAACAACACGTTGATTAAGCAAGGAATTAACATGCAAAACAATATGCTATGCAATATATCACATATGAAAAATGTCCAACTTATCCAACTTTGCTAGGCTGCATGTATTTAATTTGGACGACACTTCTCAAGCAATTTATTTTGTATCTACAAAACATCCAATGACAGACCGTGACCCAACGTTGTGAAAAGTAAAATATGGGGTCGGAATATAACAATACGACGATTATTCATTCGATATTTCACACATGACTTACTTATCATAAAACGTATACGAGTTAATTTTCTTCTTCACTGTATCCAGCTGGATGGCAACAATTCGGCTTCTATGTTTTATTCGATGCATCTATAATCATAATAATAATAAGGAATATAGCTGCATGGCGGCAATGAACGGTTTTCAAGACCATGACACATTGCAAAGTCACATGCATGACCTTGTATGACTATTTGCAATAACACTGAAAATAAATGTAGACTCCATGTTTGTATATACATTAGTGCTTGAGATGATAGAGACCTGCATATTTAATTAGTTCTATGTCCATATATTGTCATTGGACATGTTGGCAATTTTTCTTGTCTAATGCCTTAAATATAGGGTTGGTTACATATCTCTATTTTCAATAGTTCTCAAGATATTATAGTTATGCATATTTAATTAGTTCTATGATTATATATGGTTATCGAATATGTTGGCAAATTCTATTGTACAATGTCTTAAATATAGCGTTGGTTTTATGTGTCTATCTTCAATAATGCTCGAGATATTATAGATATGCATATTATATTAGTTTTATAACCATATATGGTCACAGAATATGTTTAAAAAATATTGATGTTTACGCCATTCGCCAAATTCCTGTTCTAAACTTTTCCACACAATTCTTCTAAAATATGAGACTGTTAAATACTCTGAGTGTTCTAGGTTCTACCTTGATAAAAGATTGCTGTGCAGGTGTTGTTGTTTGCAACCACCGCCTGTGTAGACCTTTAGCGGCCAACACACCAATAGTAACTGGGTAATAGACGCTAATGACACATAAAAGGTGAATGATTACTTTATTGGTAAATTTAACGTTATTAACTGGCCAGTGCCTTGTTTGCATACTATACAAGTGCCGTGTGCGACGACATATAAACAGTGTGTTGTAGACTCACTAAAGATGATACATCATCCGATATCGTACTTTTTTCAATTATTATATGATTAAAGGACGGATAAAAATTAATGTATGTACAGTATAATTTAGTTGTTAGGCTTCATTATTGAGACTTGTATACACATATGGCATTATAATCAGAATCTCTGATATCATAATCAGAATCTCTGATATCATAATCAGAATCTCTGATATCATAATAAGAATCTCCAGTATAATCGGCATCTATGGTTTTATAATCTGCATATATAATATCATAATCAGCATCTTTCATATTAATTCAGAATCACTGATATAATCAGCATTCACGATTTTATAATCTGCATATATTATTTAATAATAAGCATCTGCAATATCACAATCAGTATCTATGATAGCATAATCAGCATCTGTGATATCATAATCAGCATCTATGTTAGCATAATCAGACTCTCTGATATCATAATCAGCATCTGTGATATCATAATCAGCATCTATGTTAGCATAATCAGACTCTCTGATATCATAATCAGCATCTGTGATATCATAATCAGCATCTGTGATATCATAATCAGTATCTGTGATATCATAATCAGTATCTGTGATATCATAATCAGCATCTGTGGTGATGCCTTTCTAGTGTTCTAAGTGGTAACAAACCTAATCAAGTTGCATATATGCAAGGGTTTGCTACTAAAATATATTCTGACATATATCAGTCTCCAGCCATCTTCACACACAGTGATACAACCGTATTGGTGATTACATGAATAATGCAAATACACGTCTATAAACATATTTTCACCAAACACATTTATTAAATACATCCACGGTGAGGTTAAAGATTATATTTGTAATGACAGAATTATGTTAAAATTCAAAAGTGATATATATATATATATTATATTCGCTTATAAAACTTCGTTATCATATCTATGTGAATATATAACACTATATATATTATAAATAGCATGCACGAATAATGGACGGAAACTTCAAAGACGTGGTGACCATAATCGGCCACTTATTAAATAATCTTATATGATATATGAATAGAATTATCGTAGATATTTTTATGAAAAAAAAAAACTAAATATAATATTTCATGAACAATATACAAGCCAGAAGCAGTGAAATGCAAATATAAAAATCAATAACTCCAAATAACAAAATCACTGACGCTTGGGCATCCATATTAAATATGCATAGCGACGATTTATTAAGAATACAATAACGACGAATTCAACAGAACATTCCCCTAGGTATCATATAGGTATGATATAATATGACACAACAAGCGAAAAAGAACACCCCATTTTGAGAAGAAAAACTTAACACCATATAGCGATGCCAGGCAATAAGAGGATTTACAGCAGATCATATGTTATTTAATAATGGATATCGAATATGCGAGGCTATTCTATGACTATAATTATAACTTGATACACTACAACAATGACGTCGATCAATGAAATACATACGATATTTAATGTCAGACAAATCCCATCAACAAATATTTGTAAATGTTCCCTACCTTAGTTTTCACACTATTTACACCGGAAGCGGGGTATTCCCTCTCTTATTTTTGAGAACAATGTTTACATTTTTTTACATATTAAAAATTGTCACCATGTTTAAATATAATATACCAGTTATTCCAAAGACATTGTACACCGAATCTACAAATATGCCATCCATTGAACAGGCATGATAATTGTCTTGTATCCCAGATTCTTTGCAATGTATTGGGTTGTCAAAAATATCCGTCAAAAGGTTACTTGATCATTTATACTGTCACTTGCTCATATGGTAGTGTATGTGTGAACGGTCTTTTGCTACATATTAACAACCTTCATAGCACACGCATGGTGTTCAAATAATAACTACTATTCCTCTTATTTGTAAATAAATACAAACAACAAACTTGTGATTCAATATTGTCGGAGTAAAAGTTAGTAACTTATAACTACACTTTGCGTTCAGTTTTGATTACATAAAACATAATGTCTAATACGTAGCAGTTTATTCTTTCCATGCGTGTTTGTTGTTGAACGAACCTGCAAAAAAAGATATAATACAGTAACAATGAGACATGACAGTATTCCGTTGTTCTTTTAAATATATGACTTTGTTACCATCAGCCAAACGACGTTGTCTTGTTGTTGTCGTTATTGACAGCTATACCAGATCCTTTAAAAAAGTCGTAAACTACTTACACAATTTAATATAACGATGAAGCAGGGACAATTTATGAAAGTCCATTAGTGTATAATAGAGCACTTTATACCAGATGCATTGTAAATGAAACCAACATCACGGTATATCGCATGTAGTTGAAACATCAAAAATGTTTCAGTGCATAGGCCGTACACGAAAATTTTGAATTTTTCTGCATACACAAAATGTGAACATTATTCGTAGTACACCAATTATCTCGTTTTTTATTTTACGTAAACTAGTTGAAAAATTGTAATCAGATATCCAATTTCATTGAGAGATGGTTTTCGACTTTTCAAACCAATCTACATCTATATCATTTTACATTGTCGAAAAACGTTAAGAATCTTATCAAGATTCAAAATCCGAGTGTTTTGTGAAATAATTGAAGAGTGAGCGTGATTGCATCCATACCTTTATATTTAGCATCTGTCGTAGCCTGTGTACTTTCTGTCAGCGTCGATGATGCTGTTCCCATTGAAGATGTATGGATGGATGAAGATGCCATTTTTTTGTACTTCTTCAAGAAGATGGACTTTACCTGATTGAAAAGAAGAAATAGTTTTAACAATATCAACAAAATCATTATATAAGTGAATGAGTATTCGAATGAATATGTGTTGATTTCAATGATTGCTGGTGAATATACAATTGTTTGGTCGCAAATAAAATAAGTGAGTGCTCACCTCTTCATTTGTCAGGCAATGGCATATGAATATAAACACACCCTGAAACAAGAAAATGAGATCAAAAGAAAAGTCAATCATAACTCAATTTTGCGCATTATGGCTAGAGTTTATAATATGTACACATTATTTTGACTAATTACACACCTGGAGGGAGTTGCAGATCACAAACAAATACTGGAACATAATAGTATGTTCGTTTACACTGAATATTCCAAATAACCAGGATATACCTAGCAGTGGTTGGAGCATCAGAATTGCACGGATACCAGTTCTGAATTCAGGAAACATAATATTAGTTTTATTATTAAATAATAGTTATATTTTAGTTATAACTGTGTATCGGTTTAAACGCTTGGATAAAGTGAGGAATTGTCAGATATACTCACCGAATACGTTGAACTTCGGACTTGTCTGCATTAGCCTTCAGCGTCATAAAGACACGAATTACTAAGATGAGAAGTACCGTATTTATCTGAGAAATAGATTATCATTGAACATAGTTTGTGTTAATAATATAGTATTATTTAACAAGTAAATTGTAACTTTTACAAAATCGTGTCTCGTGTTTCAACGTGAGTGTATATACGTATTGAGACTAGCAGTTATGGAATATAAAGTATTTAGAAATAATCACGTTTTTGAAATTACAAACATGCAGTCGTATACATGAAACATTTAATTACCAGGATGATTGCCAGTACAGGGCCAATAAATGCCCAGCTTAAACCAGCTTCTGTAGCGAGCCAGCATTTGCCACTTCCTTCAGCACCATAACCATCATACCGAATAGCAAACGTTACGCCAACAATAACAAGAGGGAGTCCTAGTAACAAAGAGGTAATTAAAATCGACTTAAAGTATAATTACACATTGTGCATAACTAATGATGTAATATGCGTCAAAATGGCTATATGCTCAGAACACACGATAATACCAAATGTATTATTCTTATACAGTTATCATATATATCAGATTACATACCCAGTACTATGTTATTAGATTCCAGATATCGCAACAGTTGCTACTTACCCCATCCCAAGAGGAGGTAAATCCATGTTTTGATATGTCTACCAAACACCATTGCTGATTTCATGTACAGGTGGATTCCTTCTACAAGCATCCACGCGAAAGCCGCCAAGAAGAAATAGTGTAGCAGGACAGCTATGGCTGTACAAATGGACTTGTGAATGAATAGTAAATTGAGATGTTATAAATCGTTGACTTGACATAGACAAAAGATTGTGGTTTTCGAATGTGATAATATAAACGGGGTAATTAAGAGCAATTCAACTTGTAATGGCTTCGATAACAACGTTTACGTATATAGTGAGACACACAAAAGACACATTACGGGTAATGGCGACAAAAGCATTTTAACGCTGAATAAACGAGTCGCTGTAACGTTCTAATTGCTGCAGTTCATATCTAAGCGGGTAATATACGCTTGCAGCCAGTGTAGTCTTACTAACCGAATTTGATGTCGCATCGACGCCGCTAATGAACAACACCTGTCCCATCAATAACGCCATTGCAAGGTTAGAATGTAAGATAATTCGTTCAGATTTCAATAACCTGTCAAAGAACGATACACGTGGTTAGCTGTGATACGTATCTATACAGTACACTGAGCGATCACATTTAATAGAAAACAAAATAATTTACAGTGATGTACGCATACATGTCAGCCATCATTCACCATTTGCTGGAAAATGAGAATACAATAATATATGTATATAATATTTTGTAATCCAATATAGTTTCAATCAGGCATACTTTAATACATCTAAACTAATCCTCATTATTCAATAAAATCGCCCTCTTGTGACGATTCTGTGACGTTAACGTGAAATATACAACACTGTTCAGCTGTGAAGTCGCGACAATATCGACGTAACGACGGGGATCATTATTCTTATTCAAGTTTACGCCACAAAAACACTTCACCGTTAGATGGCGCAACTCACAAGAATGGCAATTTGTATTGAAGGTCGGTAACACCAAACGTATTTTAAATTCTTGTTATATGTTATACTGTCTATAACTAGGCATGGCATGAGACACCAATCAAAGTGCAATGACAACGACACGTCGTACGATATCACACTTACTTTCCAAGCAAATAAATCAGCAGTGTTATGACAAGACATAACACGGAAATACTCGTTCCAATATATGTCAGATATTCCAAGACATCGTCATGAACTCCAAGGTCAATCGGCTACAGAACAAAAATATTCAGTGAATATATTTGGACGAGGACAATACAAACGTTGTATTCGTAACAGCAATGCCTAAAAGTCTACCATTATTCATGGTATGCAATTTTTATTTCGCGTTTTAAACGTATGCTAGGTGTTCTATATTAAAGGGCGGTGAATGTTGCACAGACCAGCGAGTACAGACTGATACGTTACTAAGCTCAAACAATGGCATTTCCTTGGCGATTGGAAGGTATCGAAAGAGTCACGGGCGGTAATTAGTACATCTTGCACCCAGGTCAAAACTCGTACTCATGATTTCCATTGGAAGGGCGCATTGGATTGTGGGGGAAAACAATGTTATATTAAGTGTCGCACATGCGCGGCATGACAACCCATGCCCTTTAAACATATGTATTTGAAGTGTATAAATCATATAAATAGCCATTTAAATAACAAATATATTAAATTGTCAGTAAAAAAATATATGTGTACGTATGATGTGACAATTAATAAACATTACAAGTAGTCTAAATATATTGCTTGTGCGTCCAAGCGAATGTAAATATATATTACTGCTACGGGTATCATATAATTTCTTATGATGACTTAATTATTGAGAAAACATTGCCCATTTGTCTATTCTATTGTAATCACACCTTCACTGAGATACCGTGTCGCTTTAAATGTCATATTCCTTTTTTGTGTCACATAATAATTATGTTTATCCACAACAGCGCAAAGGAAATTACGTCACTAAACTTTGCAATATTCCACGATGATAATATAATATTAATAATGGTTACTATGAGAACGGCGTAAATCTGTCAAAGAGCAAATTGAGAGAGATCCTACTTCTTCTCAAACTCACACTTATCTTCCGCTCAAACTCACACTGCCGCCCAAACTGTATATTACCACCATCTCAAACCCACACTTATCTCTTGCTTAAATTCGAACTTACATTTTCACAAACCCACACTTATCTTCCTCTTAAACTCACACTGGCCCTTCTCTCATCCTGAATTGACACATATCTCATTTTCAAACTCACACGTACTCTTCGCTCAAACTCACACTCATCTCCCGCTTAAACTCACTTATATCCTTCTCAAACTTGCACTTGTCTCCTGTTCAAATTCATACTAAACCTTCTCTCGAACTCATACTTATCTCCCGCTCAAACTCACATTTAACCATTTCTCAAACTCACACTTACCCTTCTCTCAAAACCCCACTTATTTCTAGCTCGAAGTGACACTTATCTCACGCTCAAACTCACAGTTACACTTCTCTCAAACTCACAGTTACACTTCTCTCAAACTCACAGTTACACTTCTCTCAAACTCACACTTATTGCTCGCTCAAACTCACACTTACCTCTTGCTTAAACTCACACTTATCTCCCGCTCCCACTCAAACTCACACTTACCCGTATCTCAAACCCTCACTTATTTCCAGCTCGAATTGACACTTATTTTACGTTCAAACTCACACTCACCCTCATTCAAACTCACACATACCTCCCGCTCAAACTCATGTTTACCCGCCATTCAAAGTGCCACTTACTCCCCGCTCAAACTCAAACTTACTCCCGTTGAAACTCACACTAATCTCATGCTCAAATTCATACTTATCTCATGATCAACACTTATATCCGATCAAACTTACACTTATCTCCCACTCAAATTCACACTAATATTCCGCTCCAACTCACACTTACCTCCCACTGAATCTGACATCTCTTGCTGAAACTCACACTTATCTCCAGGACAAACTCATTTTAATCTCCCGCCCAAACTCACAATAATCATCAGCATAAATTCACCCTTATCTCTCATTCAACTCATACTCAAAGTCACACCTATTTGCTACTCAAATTCGGGACGGGATGCTCAAACTCACAAATATCTTCTGCTAAAACTCATCTTGTGTGCTCAAACTCACATGTATTATCCATTCTAATACACTCGTATCCCCAGCTAAAACTCACACTTGACCTTCTACTCAAACTCACATATACCCCCGCTCAACCCCAAACATATGCCCGCTAAATCTTACACTTAACCCATGCTCAAACACTTTATATTCGTTCAAACTCACAAGTACCCCTGAAACTCATAATTATCGTCGATCAATCACATTTTTTTCCACTCAAACCAATTTATCGCCTGCTCGAACTCGCACTCTACTCTCGCGTAAACTCACATTATCTCAGCTCAAACTCAAACTTATTTCCCAATCAAACTCGTACTTATCCTATGCTCGAATTACCGCTTATCCAGAGTTCAATCTCGCTCAAACGATACTCATCTCCAGCTCAAACTCTCACTTATCTGTCAATCTAACTCTCACTAATCTCCACTGAAACTCCACTCAATCTCACTTGTCTTCTATCAAACTCACAAAAAGCTTCAGCTCAAACTCAAACTTACATTTCACTAACACTTATCAGCCGCTGAAAATCACTTGTATTTCCCTTCATACTCACACTTATCTCATGGTCAAACACACACTTATTTTCCGCTCTAATTCAAAATACCTACAACTGAAACTCACATTCATCCCCCTCAAACCCATTTATCTCATGCTCTAACTCAAATATACCTCCCGCACAATCTCACTTATTTTCTGCTCAAATCACACCCATCTCCCTCTCAAACTCCCACTTACCTTTCGATCAAACTTTCACCTTTCTCTCACTGGAACTCCACTCAATCTCACTCCTCTTCTTCTGAAACTCACACTTATCTCAAGGTCAAACTTATACTAATCTCATGCCCAAACTCACAGCTATCTCCCGCGCAAACTCGCACTTATCTCCGCTCAAACTCACATTTATCTACCGCTGAATCACACAAATATTTCCACACAATCTCACTTAATCTTCAGTTCAAAACACACTCATATCCCGCTCAAAATTTCTCTTAACGTCCAATCAAACTTACATCCCAGCTCAAACCTGTATCACTTATCTCCTGCTCAAACTCATATTCGTTCAAACTCACAATGAGCTCCGTTCACTCTCACGTGTCTTTTGCTCAAACTCATGCTTATCCCCGCTCAATCTCACTTATCTTCCATTCAAATTCACACTTATCTCCCGTTGAAACTAACACTTATCTAGTTCTCCTGCTAAGACTCATTTATCGCCGTACATCGCGGCGTTCTGAATACAATGACTCGTATTAGTTGTTTTTAAGATTTCTCTCATTTACAACTTATAATATCCGATTTCATAAAACTGGGACTGAATTTG